GCTAGCCAATTATGTAATGAACTGGTTTCAGTAAGTTGTGCAAACTCAACATTTATGAGATAGATATACCTACAGATAATAAATGGGAAAATAAATGGGAAATGATTAATCCCAATCATCAAAATAAAACAACTGGATCTAATGAATGATTCTTAAGGGTACTACTATCTGATAGAGCAGCCATTACTTAATTTAGAAATGAAGAACAGAACCAATTATTCCTATTACAGAACTTCACACAAAAAGGATCTGGATTTTCTGAATAGACATGGAAAGTTTAGATGATTCCTACCAACACTTTAAGGTGCTCCCCCTTTAAGAGAAAGCTCTTAATGGTTTGCTCCATATTACTACAAAGGTATGCTAATTTATCTGAAATTAATTTGTAAACGTTAATTTCTCTCCTATTTTTCCTTTGTTACTGTTCTGATTTTCCTGGTTTCCCTTCAAGAGGTTTTCTTTCTGCTTTCCCTTGAAAATGCTACATCTTTGAGATGAAAGTGCCCTCTACTGCCTGAAGTTCCCTGTTCAGGTAGGCCAATGATAGAATTAGCTATAATTAAAACATTGCCATATTTTTTTCTTCCAGTTGTGTTTATAAAAATATAGCATATGACAATTTTCATAAAACAAAGTTACGACAATATTCATGGAGTATGCTAGTCAGAAGGTGGTTATATGTTACTTAGTACTTAGGAGGTTGTGATTGTAAACTGTGGTTTCACATAGTATAAAACCCAGCCAACTGGGGTTTATTCAGTAAACCATCGAGCAATAAATCATCCCTCACTGTGTTCCTGGAATGCAGTTAATTAATATCTCTGTCGTCTTTGGGTTTCTTGGTACTTTCTAATCTAAGTCTGTTACGGAGCCACACTTCAAAATTCCTTTACTGAATAATAGTGGCTCTGAGACCAGTAATGAAATGTGTTGTGATTTCCTCTGGCTTTAATTTTGATGCTTAGCTAATATGCAAGTATGCAGGAGATTGCATGTTTGTACAACTTGAACAGGACCCTTTTCTGCATGCAGTCAACCATGTGTGTGGGGAGTAATTTGAGTAGGACTAATATCTTCCAAACAGTGAAATCCAATTTTCCTCCTCTCTGTATTCACAGGAACTTGAGAGTCATGTTCAAGAGGTTAAAACCAACTCATGCCACATATAGGTTAATCAGCTGAAATAGTGTATGTAACTGACATAGTAATAACAGCATAAAGTAGTACCATACCTTGGTAGTCATCGTTGATTGGTTCTAGGAGGTGCAATGAGTACCCAAAATGATGAGTACCAAACAATTTTTCCCATAAGGAATAATGTAGTGAGTCACAAGGCAACCAACACCAACAAGTTCTAGCTTGTGCGTTGAGTTCAAACAAAGGATGCGTACCAGACAAAATTTTCACATCAAAATGCATTGAGTACCAAATTTGATGAGTTTCAAAGTGGTTGACTACTAAGGTACAACTGTATATCAGTTCCATTATAACAATTCCATAGTTATGAAAAGGTTAAGGGACATTTCAGAATTACATAGACACATTAGCATCCTGCCATCAATTGACAAAGTTGATAATACAGATTATTCAATATCTGATCTCTATTGTTGCTAAACTCCAACATTGCTCTGGCAAATCTGACTAATAATGGGAGATTACAGGATTTACTTATTATATAAATATAAACCACACTTTTCATTCAGGAGCTCAAGAAGCATGTTGCTAAACTGTGCAGCCTACCTTTACTAAGAAGGTGTTATTTCTGAAAAAGAGCTGAGAAAGTTTCATCATCATTCATATTGCTGGAGAAAACCAGAGAAGTTCAGGAATGAGAGTTGCAGTAGGGCTTGTGTACTCTTAATGTCTCTTTCTCCAAGTGGAACTCATGAAAATAGTAATAGCATATCCTAGTCTTTCCTGTCTTTTAGAGCATCAGTGAAATGGCAGTAAGGGTTTCCCTGGAGACCAAGAAAGTCAAGATGGCAGCAATAACTCTATGTTGACCATCTCTCCCTCTTTGTAACATGTATAGCAACTGCCCTTTTGACTTTTTTAAGTGGCTCTATCAGGTTGAATCAGGGTCTTTATGTGGGATAACAGCAAATCTTTTTACCATGTCACTTTCTGAGCCAGAATAGAATAGAATAGAATAGAATAGAATAGAATAGAATAGAATAGAATAGAATAGAATAGAATAGAATAGAAT